GCTCCTGCAGGAATCCTATCCGAGAGAATTTCACTTTTTTTCCTTTTGATGATCGAATTAAAGGCAACATGAAATTTCTTTTTTAATAGAGTTTCAAGTAAATTAATGAACTATATGCATATGAATTCTACTTCAAAAGGAATGACAAATCATCAAGCAAAGAAGCAAGAAGAATTCAAGATGAATTCAACTAAAAGATTCCTAGCCATATTTTCATCCTTAATTTTCTCATAAATAATGTTAGATTATTTCTTAGACTTTTTCTATAGATTTTTTTCTAAATTTTTTCTTGGATAATTTGCTAGATTGTTTTTCCTAGATTTTCTCCTATATTTTCTCTTAGATTATTTCCTAGATTTTCTCTTATATTTTATCCTTGATTTTTTCATGGAGGAGGAATTGTGCTCTACTTCAACATGAAAGCTTTTAAAGCATATACCAACTCAACTTTTACCATAAAAATTAATTAAATATTGAAGACCAAATTCAAGTCAAATAATGCATAGAGAATGAAGCCACAACACCAACACTTTTCAAGACATAACACTTGTAATTCTACTTAGTTCATGTTATCTTAATTATTATTTAATGCTTTCCTAGAGTAAGTTAAATTAAGGAATTTAATTAGGATTCTAGTTTTGGAGTTTTATTCAAATATGTAAGATGAATGCCTATATAAAGGATGCCATTATTAAGTTGTAATTAGTTCATCACTTATGCCAAATTAATAAAATTAAAGTTTGCTTTAGTTTACACTACTGTGATTACTTTTTGAGAGGGTTGTTCAACCATCTTGTTGAGTTGAGGATTAATTCAACTTATTAAGATAATCTCTTGTAGCGTTTTATCATTTTCTTTTAAATTAATTTCTAATTTATCAAGTTCGTACTTGTAGCATTTTAATCAATTAAAACTATCCCAATTACCTTAATTCATAATTTAAGGTGAATTATTGGGTAAGTAGGGAGGATTTTTTTTTTAGGGTTTATGATTTTGTTTACTAATGTTATATGCTAGGTTTTTGATCACACTAGTTGATCTTTAACTACCATAACTACAGTGAGGCTAAAAAAATAAAGTTAGTAGCAGTTGAGTTCACAGATTATGCACTTGGTTGGTGGGATCAAGTGATCGCCCTCAGGAGAAAAGATTAAGACCAACCTGTATCCTCTTGGAGAGAGATAAAGTCCATCATGAGAAAGAGGTTTATTCCATCTTATTATGACAGGGAATTGACCAAAAAGTCCAAAGATTGGCCTAGGGATCCATGTTTGTGGAAGACTATCACAAAGAGATGGAGATGACAATGAACATGGCCAGAGTTTATGAGAGTCCAAAAGCCACCATGACTAGATTTTTGAGTGGCCTGAATAAAGAGATTACCAATGTTGCGGAACCACATCACTGTATAGATATAAAAGAGATGGTGTACATGGCTATGAAGATTGAGAGACAATTGAAGAACAGGGGTTCCTCCAGAGGAAATTACTTGTCTACTCCTTAGTATAGCTCTAGATGGCCTAGAAAGGAGGAGAGAAAGAGGTTTGAAGAAAGCAGGGACAAGTCCAGTTCTACTAAATCTAAAGAAAACCCTAAACCGCTAACACAACTCAAAATGAAGTTCTATTAAATGTTTTAGGTGCCTTGGAGTTGGACAAATTACTTTCTAATGTCCTAATAAAAAATCATATTATTGCAAGACGATGGCAAGATAGAGAGTGTTAGTGAGTACAGTAGTGATGATGATAGCAGAACATCACTAAATAATTTTGAAGATAGTCTACTAGCCCCAGTAGAAGGTGAGATCCTAGTTATGAGGAGACCATTGAATATGCAATCCAAAGAAACGGATAACGATCAAAGAGAGAATAACTTTCACACTGGATCACTGGATGTCATGTGAATAGGAAGTTATGTAGTTTGATTTAGATGAGGCAATTATGATAATGTTGCCAGTGTCCTACTAGCTGACAAGTTAGGGTTGTCATGCACTAAAAATCCTAATCCTTATAGACAACATTGGCTTAATGAGTATGGAAAAGTTTGGGTAAACAAGCAAGTCAAGATTCCTTTCTCCACCAGCAAATATAAAGATGAGGTATGTTATAATATCGTTCCCATACAAGCCAATCATATCCTGCTTGGACGACCATGGTAATACGATAGACACGTATATCATGATGAGTTTAAAAATTAAAACTCTTTACGTCTAGATGGTTTAAAACACATTTTGATAGCTTTATCCCCAAAAGAGGTCTATGCTGATCAGATCAAAATCAAGAAATCTTTTAAAGAATATTTAGAAAAAAAAAGAAAAAAAAATGAAAAAGAAAGAAAATAGGCTAAAAAAGAAAAGAATGGCCCACTGAGGATACGGACCCCTGAAAAGGAAAGATTCCCCAATCAACAAAAATCTATGTTGGAGACCCGAGGAGATGGACTTTTTCAAGTCCTAGAGCATGTCAATGACAACACCTATAAAATTGATCTCCCAAATGAGTACGATGTGTCTGCTACATTTAATATTTCTATCATTTTTTCTTTTAATATAGGTGACGATTCGAGGATGAATTTTCTCGAAAAATGGAGGATTATGTAAACCTCGACGTAAAAGACACATGGAAGGATGCTTACTCAAAAGACCAAGAAGACAAGTAGGGGGAAGCAGGAAGAAGATTCAATTCCTAAAGGGACATATTACCTAAGCTCGTGCCAAAATTTTTTAAAAAGCTTTCAACATTCTTGTTCAAAGTTGGATCACATAAGGAAGCGACTTTAAAGCCCAAATAGCTACAAGAAAAAGCCCAAGAAAACTAGAAGAACCTCAGCCATTTCTGATCGTTTGGGAAGAGAATGGTGATGCAATCCTGCTCATCGGCATGGGAACTACACCAAACTAGGAAAGACTGAGTTGGGTTTCTCTTTGAGGAGGCTTGAAGCCCCCTCTATGGACTTTGATTAACCTACAAAATAAAAGCAAAAATAGAAGCAAAAAAGATATAAAATAAGACACTTACTGACGTGATACCTACTGAAATCGCACCTAAACCAAATAAGCATGAGAAGCGAGCAAATACAGATGAGTTTTCGAAAAAACGAGAGAAAGCAATTGCGAGGTAACAATACTCAAAGTTACTATGTTCTTGAACAAGTATCAGACAGCGAGGCCGACTCTATCAGGCAGAGTTCCCGACCTAGGAAGAAATGACACCAAAAGGTGTTAGAAACCCAAAGGGTAATAAGCCTTACTACTAATAAACGACTCGGTCCAAAAATCACAGCCCAAGAAAGAAGTCCAAATGTAGTTTGGGTTTGGGTACCCGTGGGGTACACATGTGTTGCAATACACGTACAGGATACTTGGCTCACACAGCCATTGGTGTTCCCTGGTTTAGTAGTAAAGCAGTCAAGGCAACCCTATACTTTGCAAAAAAACTGAAGACAAACAACTTTCTTGACATAGAGACCTAGAGGCCCACATGCAAGCAAAGAGGTCCACACGTGTGTTGGACATGCGGACCACCTCGCATGGCCAACGAACATGCACGTGTGTTCACATGGAATGCGCGTATGAGCGCCTGATAGCACCAACACACGCGACCCTCTAGGCCCATGTGGAACCGACTGTGCGCGCATAGGCCTAAGAGGCCGAATGCGTGCACCCCATGCAGACAAGCCTGTAGACGGTCCAAACAGTCCAAGTGCAGCCCCCAACTCTCACGGGCCTTCTCCCACGCAACCTGCGCGGACCGGCCAGCCCAATCTATCCGGGTAGACAAAACCGACCGACCCCCTTTTTTCCTTTTTAAAATAATTAAGTTATTTTATTATTTTACATTTTTAAAAGGCTTGGGACTCATTTTTTAAATTACCCATATTTTAAAATTAATTTCTACATGTGTTTTATAGGGATTTCACATGGGATAAATATGAGTTTATTTTAATTAGTATTTTATTATAATTATATCCGTTAGGATTATTTAATTAATGTATTTGAAATATAATAATTAATTTATGATGTAATTATCATAGATTTAGATAGAATTTTATTTAAGATATTATTTTATTAAATTATCTCAAAATTTTATATTCATCTAGATTGCCCAAGAAAGGCTATAAATATACATTTGCCCTTAGGATGTAAACACACCATTTGAGAATAAATTTGAGAGAATTCTTGAGAGTTTCAACTTTTCTTCTTTTAGCATTTTTACTAAAATTAGCTTCTTCAAGTTCTTCGAGAAGTAGGAGTTTTCAAAAGTTTTGTTGAGATAAGAAGCGGGGATCAACTTATCAGTAAGTCCGTGGCATTTTTTCTTTCTTTGTTTATTTTTTTTTTCTTTTAGGATTG